TTTTTCATCTACATATACATATATATATATATATATATATATATATATTTATTTATTTATTTATTTATTCTGTCACTTAATATTCTTGCGAATACTATAAATAATTTATAATTTTATTCTAAAATTCAGTTTTATATTTTACAATTTCATAAAATAATTTTTAAATATTATAACATATATTTAAAGAAAATATTTTTTAATAGCTTACAATTTTAAAAATAATTTTATATTATGTGTCAATTTTGTATACATGTATTATGAATTTGAAAAAACATATATTTACAAATTAGTACAATTTGATTCAATTTGAAGTGGTTTCATATTTCAATTCAAAAATCAAATCAAATTGTGCAATTTAAAAAAAAGAATTGAAACAAACCACAAATTTACAGCTTTTCATCGATTTTTTTTTTAATTTTTATCAATTTGCTATTTTTTGTTTGGATTAGTTCAATTTTAAACACTCTTATTTATTTCCATCCCTGTACTTGACCGAACAAAACTATTAACTCATTTCATTCTCTTGTTTTTTCTACTTCAAAATCTCTCCTCTCTTTTTTATTAGAAAAAAATTCAAGTTTCATATCAACTAGAAATAAAATAATTAAAGAATATATAAGTGGAAAACAATCTTCACCTTACAAATACCAAGCTTAATAGTGCTAGATATGAGGAGATGTATTGTAAAACACTAAACTTTCACATCTTTAAAAAATGGTCACCTATCCTAGATCATTAAAAAGGGTCACCCACTATTTACTCACATACCAAACTCAATAAAGATACTTACAAACCAATTTTATAGGTTAAGCTAGGCTCAAATCTACTATTTTAAGATGATATCAGAACTATCCTAGATCTTTAAAAAAAAGTCACCTATCTTAAATCATTAAAAAGGGTTATCCACCATTTATTAATGTAACAAAATCAATAGTGCTGGACATGAAAGAGAGTGTATTGGGAAACACTCAAGTTTCACATCGACTAGAGATAAGATAATTAAAAAATCTATAAATAGAGAACAATCCTCACACTAACATAATATAAGAACTATCCTAAATTATTTATAAAAAAAAAGTCACCTATCATAGATTATTAAAAAGGGTCACTCACCATTTATCTACGTTCCAAGTTAATTTTGTAAGATTGAATTAGACTCAAATTCACTATTCTAAAAGGGGGTGTATTGGTTTAGGATTTCATAGGATTTTAAAAGACTTTTTTTGAGTAAAAAAGTCCGTTGGTATTCAATTAAGATTTTACGTCACTTAAAAATAATCCAGATTCAATCTGGATCTTCAAGATTATTTAAGTAGTCTATTAAAATCTATTGGTATTCATTTGAGATTTTTTACAACTTAAAAACAATCTATTAGTATTCAAAAATATAAGAATTTTAACGGATTGTTATGTTAGAGGGATTTTGAAGGACTTTTTAGTGTTATCTATAAATACCAAATTCATAAAACAATTCCATCCAAACCCATCAAAATTTGGAGGATTGTTTAAAGCAACTTTTCAAGTGTTTCAAGAATTTCCAAGTGAATTTTTCATTTTTTTTTCTCTATGTTTTTGTCTTCTCCATTTTTTCTCTGCTAATAATATTGCACTATTGTTCATTGCTCATATATAATACTATAGTATTGTTCCCATTCCATTCTCCTATTTTGTGAAACTCTGATATGTAAATGACAGTATCATTGACTTGCTCTATTTTTCTCTTCGTTCTCTTTAATTGACTTGCTCTATTTTATTCTATTTAGTTTAATTTTTTCCTTTATATAACACAAAAAATGCTTGAAATTTCAACTTTTAAATGATAATTTTTTTATAACACATGTCAAGAAAAGGGAAAGGTGAAAGAAGAAATTGATGTCATGATCTCTACAATATATATATATATATATATATATATATATATATATATATATATATATGTATAATATATTTGA